AGGTGCCCCCAAACCCTCTCCAGGTGCCACCAAACCCCCTCCAGGTGCCCCCAAACCCTCTCCAGGTGCCACCAAACCCCCTCCAGGCGCCCCCAGGTGGCCCCCAGGTGCCCGCAGGTGCCTCACCTTCCTGGCCACGCCCCTCTTCCACCTCCTCTCCTGGGCGAAGTCGGCCGCCAGCCACTGCATCTCCTCGCACAGGTAGTCCCAGTGCACCTTGGGCCGCGCCGGCTCCGGCACCTTCGGCAGCCGCCGCAGCGACCAGAACCCCTCCCGCTTCATCTCCGCCACCCGGTGCTCCACCTCCGCCTCCTGGGCCCGGAAAATGGGGCAAAACCACGCGAAAACGGTTAATTTGGGAAAGTCGGGGGAAAAAAAATGGGTAAATTGGGAAAAAATCAAAAAAAAGTGGCAAAAAAACGGGTTGATTTGGGTAAAGTGGAAGAAAAAAAGCGGGTAAATTAGGAAAAAAATAAGTTAAAGCGGCAAAGAATGGGTTAATTTGGGTAAATTGGGAAAAAAAAGCGGGTAAATTAGGAAAAAAACAAGTTAAAGTGGCAAAAAAATGGGTTAAAAAAAAATCTGCGAAATCGGCAAAAGAATTATTGAAATCGACCCAGAAATCCATTAAATTCACCCAAAAATCGGTTAAATTCACCCAAAAATCGGTTAAATTCACCCAGAAATCACTGAAATCAGCCCAGAAATTGGGTGCTCCACCTCCGCCTCCTGGGCCCGGAAAACGGGGCAAAACCACGCGAAAACGGTTAAATTGGGGAAAAAAAACGGGGAAATTAGGAATAAGTCAAAAAATAGAAGCAAAAAAAACCGTTTAATTTGGGTAAACTGGAAAAAAAAAGTGGATAAATTAGGAAAAAAATAAGTTAAAGTGGCAAAAAAATGAGTTAAAAAAATCTGCGAAATCGGCAAAACAATTACTGAAATTGACCCAGAAATCCATTAAATTCACCCAAAAATCGGTTAAATTCACCCAGAAATCACTGAAATCAGCCCAGAAATTGGGTGCTCCACCTCCGCCTCCTGGGCCCAGAAAACGGGGGAAAACCACACAAAAATGGTTAAATTGGGGAAATTGGGGAAAAAATGGGTAAATGAGGAAAAAAATGAGTTAAAGTGGCAAAAAAACGGGTTAAATGGGAAAAAAAATGGGTTAAAGTGGCAAAAAAATGGGTTAAATGAGAAGGAAAGTGGGTTAAAGTGGCAAAAAAATGGGTTAAAAGAAAAGAAAAGAAAACTGGGTTCAAATGGCAAAAAATGGGTTAAATTGACACCAAAATGGGTTAATTTGACACCAAAATGGGTTAAATTGGAAAAAAATGGGTTAAATTGGTGAAAAAAAATGGGTTAAATTGGGAAAAAAATGGGTTAAATTGGTGGAAAAAAATGGGTTAAATTGGGAAAAAAATGGGTTAAATTGGTGAAAAAATGGGTTAAATTGGAAAAAAATGGGTTAAATTGGTGAAAAAAAATGGGTTAAATTGGAAAAAAATGGGTTAAATTGGGAAAAAAATGGGTTAAATGGGTGAAGAAAAATGGGTTAAATCGGTGAAGAAAAATGGGTTAAATTGGAAAAAAATGGGTTAAATTGGTGGAAAAAAATGGGTTGAATTGGAAAAAATGGGTTAAATTGGTGAAAAAAAATGGGTTAAATTGGTGGAAAAAAATGGGTTAAATTGGTGAAAAAAAATGGGTTAAATTGGTGAAAAAAAATGGGTTAAATTGGTGAAAAAAAATGGGTTAAAGTGGAAAAAAATGGGTTAAATTGGAAAAAAAAGGGTTAAATTGGTGGAAAAAAATGGGTTAAATTGGGAAAAAAAGGGTTAAATTGGTGGAAAAAAAATGGGTTAAATTGGGAAAAAAAGGGTTAAATTGGTGGAAAAAAATGGGTTAAATTGGAAAAAAATGGGTTAAATTGGTGGAAAAAAATGGGTTAAATTGGAAAAAAAAGGGTTAAATTGGTGGAAAAAAATGGGTTAAATTGGAAAAAAATGGGTTAAATTGGAAAAAAATGGGTTAAATTGGGAAAAAAACGGGTTAAATTGGTGGAAAAAAATGGGTTAAATTGGGAAAAAAATGGGTTAAATTGGTGAAAAAAAATGGGTTAAATTGGTGGAAAAATGGGTTAAATTGGAAAAAAAAGCGTTAAATTGGGAAAAAAATGGGTTAAATTGGGGTAAAAAAGGAGGTGATAAAAATATCAGTTATATTTGATAAAAAATGGGTCAAATTGACCCAAAAACCGACCGAATTGACACAAAAATCGCTTCCTGGGGAGACAAAACGGGCTGAAAATTCGGGAAATCGGGTAAAAAAAAAACCAGTTGAATCGACACCGAAATCGCTTCGGATTTGGTTTAAATTGGAGGAAAAAGGATCCCAAAATCCCCCAAATTTCCCCCAAAACGGCACTCACGTGCTTGGCCTGCTCGGCGATCTCGGCCTGGGTCCGGTCCCACAGGCTGGGGGGGTCGGGGGGGCCGGGGGGGCCGTCGGGGGGGGGTCCCGGGGGGGCCCCGGGGGGGG